CTTCCTTCAGGGTCAAAGAGTGGTGCTAGGGGAGCAGCTATCCCAAAGGCACCCACTGATCTGTGGAGTGCCCCAAGGGGTGGTGCTGTCCCCAATGTTATTTAACATCTACATGCACCCCCTTGCCCAGATTGCCCAAAGGAAAAAAAGATTCCCTTTTAAAAATAATCACATACTGCAGATAATAAAACAGCAAAAACATATTAAAAACCAAACATAAAGTAATAATTATGACAACAAAACATAATTACTATAAGGTAAGACTTGTCTTTGCTTTTACTTTAGCTTTTGTTTTTTGATGAAAAAAGAACCAGCCAGCAGCCTGCCATCCTTGGTGGAGACCTGGGCATTGGAACACCCCAATTGTCCTGAGTGATTTCAATGTCCATGCGGACGATGTGGCCTCAGGCGATGGACCTAGTGTCATCTGTGGTGGCGCTGAGACTCTCCCAATATGTAACGACTCCCACTTGCCGGGCCGGACACATGCTCGATCTGATGGTCACCTTGAGACTGGACTACTGTAATGCTCTCTACATGGGGCTGCCCTTGACCCAAGTCCAGAAGCTACAGGTAGTGCAAACTGCTGCAGCCAGGCTTCTGATGGGCCTCCCTATGCGGGAGCACATCCAGCCTGTGCTGAAAGCACTGCACTGGCTGCCGATAGCATACCGAATTCGCTTCAAGGTGCTGGGACTTACCTTTAAAGCCCTTTATGGTCAGGGGCCCACATACTTGAGGGAATGCCTTTCCCCACACATTCCCCAGAGAGCACTGCGCTCAGGGTCACAAAATCGATTGGCCTCCCAGGTCCTAAAGATGCCAGGCTGGCCACAACCAGGGCCAGGGCCTTCTTAGTGGTGGCTCCGTACTGGTGGAATGAGCTCCCAGAAGAGATCAGGGCCCTCGGGACCTTTTACAGTTTTGCAGGGCCTGCAAGATGGAGTTCTTCCACCAGTCCTTCGACTAAGGAGCCGCACCAAATAACATCAAATAACTGAGAAGTGACAGTGCCCTAGTCCTTGGCTTACCTCCAACAGCCTGTGCTGTTGCCTAATGTTGCCTAAATATAGAGACCAAGACAAGCCAACCATCAATATACATCATCTGATTACAACACTAGTATTGGTTCCGCTTTCTGTAAGCATTGTTATAAGTACCTAATCACTCACTAGCACGTTATGATAATGTAGAGTTTTATTATTTGTTTCAAGATTGTATACAATTTGTTACCTATATGTTTAATCTCTTTGTAAGCTGCCCCGAGCGCGCTCCAGCGGGGAGGGCGGGGTATAAATTGAATGAATAAATAAGGTTATTCACGAACTCCTTCATTTCTCAACAGTTTTCTGCACTGCATCCACAAGCATTTTTTTCCCTTGTCCCCTTCTTCCATTGCTTTCTCAACTCCTTCTAGCGTGAGCTGTGCCATACTGAATCCCACAATATCCGTCACCTCTACTTTCATCGTCTCATGTTTTAAGAGGTTAATTATGTTTCTATACTTTGTGGAAGATTTCACCAAATCACTTTTACTCTTAGGAACAAAGTCCTTAAAGTACTTCATAACTCAACTGAAAACAATCTGTCTTCTCACTGTGAAGTTATCATGTTTCCTCAAGAATGCAGTAATGAAACCGGAAAAAGCACAAACTGCATTCACAAAAATCAAAGAAATACTGACTTTACTGACCAATTTTTTAAAAAACTGACAAATTACTGACCAAGATGAAAAAACGGACTTTTACTGATTTTACTGACTATTTTCCACCCCTGCAATAGTAGTATGAGAAACCTCAACCTGCTTTTTTGTACAAAACAGTGGTTGTATCCATATATCTCTAGATTCAACAAGCCACAAAAGTCACATTATAAAATGTTGTTTATTATAAACTGATAGATGTATAGGTCTATAAAAAGTAAATGTCTGATTAACTTTCTCCAAGTAACAGACCAAGCACACACAGTTAGAACACAGCCTTTTTTTAACCACATGGTAATGGAGCTAGAGCTACACAGTCTCAGGCATTCTTCTAGCACAGAGGAGGATTCACCAGCAAAATGATCAATATTCCCCTAAGGACACTTGTACAAGACCATGGACTGAGTATGGTTCACATACAGATTGGGTCATCTTTGAAACACATAGAAAACAGGCATCTTTCTAGATTACAGTAAAAAAAGCAAGAGACAATACAGGAAGTCACACCCACAGACAGACAAACTCATAATAGCATGGATCATCTGATTTTCTTCCTTTTATTTTTTAAAAAGAGAACCTTTAGCAGTGAGTCTTTACTTGAGCAATTCTTTGGTTTTGGATCAAGTGCAAGAAAAGTAGAGGTTTCCTTACCATGACAAGATAAAAATCAGAACACAATCCAGGGATCACTACCTATCTCAGCTCCATTGCAATGAACAAAACGAATGTGGGAGCTATGTTGTATAGATTGCGCCCATCATCATCAAGTTGAAAAAAATGCTAGAGTGTTTGTTGCACAGACACTGACTGAAAACACACTGCAACTCAGAAAGTGCCAGATTCTCTTGTAAACTGTTTTGTTTATGTGAGCACCCCAACCCAAACAAAAAGGTACTGAGAGACCCATATCAATTTGGTGAATTTTGGTGGTTTTAAAGGGCTCAGGAAAGGTTCACTAATCTGGTTGCTGAAGTAAAAGCACAGGGGGGGAAACATTCACATAGCCATGCTTGTTTATCCTTTCGATCCCCATATAAATTAGTAACTGGAAATGTATTCCAATTTTGCTAATGTGCTGCTATTCCCAAGGTCAATTCATTCTATCAAACCCCTCCATACAGGAACCTGATTGTGTCAAGGACAGCTTATGCGAATTGTTCTGTTCACAAGTGAAGCCAGCCACCATCTTTATGATCAGGGTTGCTGGACAAAAACTGCAGCCATGATCACATAAATGATTCCCTGCAAGCATAGTGGCAGCTGACCCAGCCCACTTCCACATAATTATGTACCTATTATATACAATTGCATGGAGGAATTTGAAAGGGTGAATTGGCTCCAGCAACTCTACCAACTGAATGTGGAATGTTTACACGAAATTTGATATATACAGAGAAGTATCTGTACAACAGGCCCAGAAACAACAAGATGGGTTTGTTCAACACCGTAGCTAGCCTCTAGAATGTTACTCATCTAGAATGTGTGACCTATGCTGTGGTCTTTAGAAACTCAAAAGAGCAACAAACAGATCATACACTCCAGTGCAATTTCATATGTTATCCTCACATGCAAGAAGTGTTACAGAAAGTTAACAAGAATAGCTAATTCTTGATGAAGGCATGACAGCTGCATAAGGATCTGCTTCAACACTGTGCAGAGAAGCATCAGATATACCTTTGGTGCGGTGCACAAACAATATTACAGACATTCAACAGACATTCATAAGAAACTGAAATATGCTTTAAAACGCAGAATCCATTCAATAATGTACATACATTTAAAAGTTCTTGCAAAAGGCATGCAGTAAAGGTTTCTTCAACATGATCTTCTCTTTTTTATCCCAAAGGTCATGGCTCAGTTTACATTTACCCAATATTAACAATTCAGTGGCTTGATGGGAATATTCTTTATTGCCAATTTGAATGCACTTGGTCTCTCTAACTCAACATACTCAGCAATTCGATTCTGGGTGCTAAGGAGGAGTTTTTAAATTATCAGTGGGTCTCTAACACACTGTTTAAAAAAGCATTGTTTTATTTTTATCAAGGAGTACATCCATGACATACAGAAAAAGACAGAAAAGTAGTACCACTGCTATCCCTCTTACTCCACTTCAACCTCCCACATAATCAGCCCTTCATGCAGGCATTCCCACCGAGACATATAATGTATAACCCCACTAAATAAAAGGAGGGGGGGTTTACCCTGAGACAGCAATCTGCACAAGATATACAAAGGTCAGCTTTCCCTTGTAATGGATTATTTGCAGTACACTCCTAAACTCACTGACTGCAATGGATTTAGACTGGAGTTAATACTATCTCCATGCTATATTCAGCTTTAATTTGACCCACAGATACAACACCAGGGATTACTTGAACCCCATGCAGCTGAAGATAGTCAACAACTAAGCCACACTGAACACAATGGAACTTAAGTTACAGCAGTTTAGCCTGCCTAAAAACTTGACTTAATTGTGACTAATTTCTTCCATTTGTTTAAATGGAACTTAGGCCATATATTCACATGCACCAGACAGACATAGTTATGAGGCGGCAGAGTGTTTGAAGCAAGAGAGTGACTGAACCACCTCAGATGGATTACTTTTCAACATTCCTCTACCTGAATAATTCCTTTACGTGGAAAGCTAGCACAGCAGGCTACGCACACACCCCTTTTTAACTTGCAGATAGTTTTTACAAAGGATAACATCAAAAACTGGCTTTCTTCCATGTAGCAGCAGAAAGCAATACTACAGCCCGTTTGAACACCTCAGAGGTCAACCATCTTATTCTTCTGCCTGTGTGATCTTCATGTCACAGTCATGATTATTTTGGGATGATTGAATGGCCCATCCCTGCAAGTTTCAATGCAATAGCTGGGAGCTAAGCAAACAGCACCCCTGCCCAAGTCTCGCTCATTTCCTAAGGGCACCAAGTAGCAGCTTTCTTGGTAGATGGTGCCAAATTCCCCCACCCCTTATAAAACCATTAAAGTGTTGCAGGAATTTTACTGCATCATCCTGTTTTTCTTTGTACTCTTCTTCCAAGCCTTGTTTTTGAAAGGATACCAAACACTTTTGTCATCCTTATTTTAAAATTATTCTTCTGTTGCAGGATGCAAATGCAAAGAACTAGCTGTATTTTTGGTATGCCAAGGTGGAACAACCCACAGAAAGAGCAAAAGTATGTCTAATACAGTACTGTACTTCTCACTTCTAAATACATTTTATCCCAGTCAAATGTGAGGGGGGGGGGGTTTAAAACAAGAGGTGATTTTTTTGTGAAGATTTTCCATCCTGCAGATGAATTCGCAATGCTTTTCCCCTTTGATTGTTAACATTCGGAAACTGGCTCACAGTTGTTTTGGGAAGGTGGGATTTTTCCTTCCATCAAGAGAAGACCATGAATCCCACAGCATCTTTGCACAGAAGACTGGTCTCTGATTGCAAACGTGAATAAATTTGAAGTAAACAAAGCTGTTGTTTGGTGTGCATATTCCATGATAATCTCTCACTTTGTTCCTCTCTTGCTTTCATGCTATCCCTAAATTCTCTTTCATCTTTTCATACACCACATAACTGATGCTGACAGCAGGAAGTACCTTCATGAAGTTAGGAGCTATGCCCCTATAAAGTCCAAAAACTCCTTCCTTAGCAATTATCCTTTGGAAGAGACCAACCATGTTCAGCTGAGGGCCTCCTTCCACCATAGCTATGGCAAAAAGGGGAAGGGGGAAGAGAGTGAAAACAGTAAAGACATTTTAATCAAAGTTGGGACCCACATGCTCAACTACATGTCAGAATCTATTCTAACACCTAATTTGGGGGGGGGGAACCATTGTATTACGTGGACTCTACCACTTCAGGCTAAAAATTCAAGACTGAATTTATTTATCCATTCATTCAGTTTTTATCACTCTCTTCATCCAAGGAGCTTAAGGCAGTTTATATGGTTCTCCCCCCTCCCCATTTCATTCTCACAACCACCCTGTGAGATGCATTTGGCTGAGCATGGGTGACTGGCTCAAGGTCAACCAATGAGCTTTGTTAGAGGCAACCCTGGCTCGCCTGTGATTTAAGAGCAGAACCATAGTCATCTTCATTCTTCCCGTTACTCCCTTTACTCAGCTCTTCCCAGTGTGTCAGACTGGAATGTGGGATACCTATCATTTCCTTGAGGTCACCGGGGAAGCCATTATTGCAGTGCAGGATCTTTAGCACGGTTCATAACTCACCAGCCCAGGCCTCAGCAAGTCTGTGAGAATTTCAGAGACAGAAGAACAAGGGGGCCTTGGCTCTCTTGTCTAGAAGTGCCAAAAATAACTAGAGCTAATGGAGGATCCACCCAGGGGGGCAGGAACAAACCTAGTCTGAGGTGACACAGGCCAATCTTAGGGAAGAAGGGCAAAAAGCATAGAAAGGTGGGTATGAGTGAGGTAGCCCCAATCTTGGGGTCCCCTCCTTCCTTTGGGGCACCCAGCTCAGGCTGTTACAGCACTTCTCTAGGTATGTACTGTTCTGTAGTTTTGTGTGTGTGCGCGTGTGTGGGCGTAAGTAAAATCCAGGTTTTTACTTTGTCTCTGCTTTTACTTTGTCTCTGCCTTTACAGCACAATAAATCTCCATTTTCACTTATGTATGTATGTGGATTAAGAACAAAAAAAGTTAACTGGATACAAAATAAGGGGGCTCAATATTAATTTCAATAAGTATAAAACAACAATATATAAATAATGCAATTCAATAAGAATACAATTCATACAATATTTCAACATTTCAAATTAGGACCTTATGCGACTCTAAAACAGATGTGTTTCGGCCTACTGGCCTTCTTCAGTGGTCAAGGAAGGATGTACTTTATAGGCCTCATATGGTATCGCCTTGTGTCCAAATCAGATACATGAAATCCAAATGGTATTACAATTACATACAATTTTTACAATTATGTTCCTATACTACATACTATTACAATTATGTCCTATACTACATACTATTAAGTTACACTGGCTCCATATTGCTTTTCAAATTCATTCTTTTGGACTGCACTAAAAGTTACATAATTGTAATACTATTTGGATTACATGTGTCTGATTTTAGGGTCGCATAAAGTCCTAATTTTGAAATATTGTATGAACTGTATTCTTACTGAGGCTATATCTGGGCCTATAATTGTTTTTTAAACCAATCTGTAGTAAATACTTGGGGTTTTTGCATTATTTATATATTGTTGCTTTATACTTATTGAAATTAATATTTGGCCCCTTATTTTGTAACCAATTAACCTTTTTAGTTCTTAATTCTTTTTTGGGGGGAGGGATTAAGTTTTTATTCCCCTCCTTGTTTCAATGTCAATGACATCTCTCGCCTTCTCACAAAGCCGATAAGACTCCCAGATGCCTCTCAGAGCTTGGCCTTGTTCACAGCCTGGGGAGTTAGATGGCTCAAGTTAGCCTTTTGGACCTAACACCTTCATGGGAAACCAGGGATCCGAACAAGCACTCTAACCCACTATGCCATGTTGGATCTCTGATTGAATTGAATGCCTCTCCACATAAAACAAAAGCTATTAAAGATCTCCTGGGCATCTGGTTTTCCAGTACAGTTAATTTTTGTTTTCACACTGAAGCATTTAAAATCACGCAATCTGTCACCTGTAATCTGACATCATCTGAGTTAGGCCTTTGTCTGGAGCACTTTAAAGGGGCAGTGTAATCCTGACAAAATAGGTGGAGCAACTACTGATGGAGTAGTCAAAGAGAGCATCTACTATCTGAAATGCAAGGCAAGTGGAACTAAACCCTTGAATTGTCTTGGAAGATAGGACCTTGCTTACTCATTTGACACAGGGGGGTAACTGGCCTCTCTCAAAACACCAGGACTCACCTTGCGCTTGCATTCGAGTTCGGATAAGGGCAAGAGGGTAACTGGCCAACTGGCCACAGGTACTGGACATAGTACCACATCCCAGCAACACAAGAATACCAGGGTTGGCAGAGTCTGTTGCGTACTTTTCTAGCCACCTCTTCTTCAAAGCCTGCCGAGAAAATACTGCTGCATTTAGTCAAGATACACTTCAAAACCATACAGGAGTCTTACTGCTCCTTGAATACTAACAGATTTATTGCAATATTAGCTTTTGTGGACTAGAGTTCACTTCATCAGATGCACAGTATTCTTAAAAGCAATGTGGACATTCATCCTGGCCCCACTGCTGGACCTCCTGATGGCACCTGGTATTTTTGGCCACCATGTGACAGAGTCTTATGTTCTTATGTTAACCCCCAGAACAAATTTCACAGGGCTTAACAGAAGGGCACAATTGGCAAAAATTGCTTTCCCCAGTTCCTAATAAATTAAGTTCCCTTAAGCTTCAGAACTGTGTGACTGGACACAGGCCAGCATTAACATAATTTATAGGTGTACATTTTATACAAGTCACAGACTTTTTCACACATACACCCCAAATACTAGGAGCGGAATTCCATCTAGAATGCCGAATGACAACAGATTTGTGATTAGCTCTTTCAGGAAATTAAACATGGTGGCCCCAGATAGTTTTGCATCACAACCCATAATAATAATAATAATGCTCAAAACATTTCATTCTAGTGGGGGTTAGCCATGTTAGTTAGTTGCAGTAAAATAAAACACACAGGTTTTATTGTCCCTTAAATACTAATAGATATAATGCAAAATAAGCTTTCAGTCTCAGTCTGGGGCAAGTAATGCATTGTATTCTTGGTGCTTGGGGGGCAACAGTGAGAGGGCTTCTAGTGTCCTGCCCCCACTGCTAGACCTCCTGATGGAACCTGGTATTTTTGGCCACTGTGTGACAGAGAATTGAACTGGATGGGTCATTGGCCTGATCCAACATTGGCTTCTCTTATGTTCTTATGATTGAGGGACAAATGAAACATGACGGTGTCCATGGGTCCTCCCCATGGATGCTGTTGCCATTTTAAAGTAATTTAAAAATGCTGCGAGGACCTGTTTGGGCCCACAGCACCACTGGCTGAGGCATTTGTTTCACTCACACAACCCATGCCTTTATTAAGTGTCAAAACAGCAATGGGGGGCATTTCAGTACTTGAAGAGGAGGAACAAGACCCCCTCAGCCCACTGCGCTGCAAGCACAATATTTTTAAATCACTTGAGAATAGCAGCAGCATCCACAGGTTGGACCCGTGGATGCTGTTACATCTAGTTTGGCCTTAATTAAAGCTCATTTCAGATGAAGCGAAAACTCAACATGCAGATTATGTGGCCACAGAGGAGGAGAAAAAAAGTACAAATTACTTAAAAGGCCATAAAACATAAGAAACATAATATGTGACATTTCTATGCAAAACTCTGGAGTATACAATGAGTTGGATTCACTTGAAGAATTTCTGGAAGTTGTCAGCATAGCAAATCTTTCCCTAACTTTCTTCTTCTACTTCTGAGGATCAGAAGATCCTTGGAGGAAAAATGCACCACAAGACAGGGCACTGGAGCAATTAAGGGAAAACAGAGTAAAAATGTCCTGTTTTGATACAAGCTGCAAGTGGAAGAGGGAAAAAGGCTTTTTTCTTCATGTCCCCTTGCCACTGCACCTCCTCCAAAAGGACATTCGGGGGAACTGGCAGTGTGCTGGGAGAAGAGTAAGCAGTGAAAAGACTGGCTCCACCGAAACCTTCCATGAATTCGCCTTGTAGATCCAGCTCACTATAAGCACAGTGACCATTCTCAATTGGCATTAACCCAATTTATCTAGTTATGTTAAGCAATTTAATGTTTGTAGTGGTTCAGAAAGTTGCCATGTCTGTTTAAGCTTTGACTGATGTAGTTACACCTACGGATAAGCTCTAAATTCAGTAATAACAGACTCATTTAACAGCAACATTAGCCATGGGAACAGAAGAGACCCTGCAATGAATGCAGATGCCGACTCCATCTCTGCATGCTTTTACAAGACCTAATGTCAGTGACACTATTCTGCAATTTAAATAGGATAAACAGGTCTGTGTGTCTCTCTCTGTCGCTCAAAAAGAATGGACACAAATTTAACAAACAGTGAAAACATTCAAAAACCTGCACAGAACATTTTGTTCTTCTAGGACACACATGAGAAATTGATTAGTCAAAATTGATCAATATGTGTATCACTTAGGCCTTCTGTAGGTATGACACGTTGTTACTCTGGAGCCAAGACCGGGACTTGCAGGTATATACCTTGGCACAGCTCTCCAGTTTCGTAACAACCTTTCTTAAATAATTCAATACCTGCAGTGGCTAACATAACTGGGTAAACTCTGATATCACTAGTTGTAGCTGTTATGAACAGTCACTGTGCTTATCTTCTATATTTGAGTTTTGTTCAGAAGTGTCATCAACTGTAAATCTTGCATTTTACAACCTTTAAACCTCGCATTCCACAATTTCTTTTACTGTCCAGTATGCTACAATAAACTGTTACTCTTTAAGGCGCTACAACATCCCTTTAAACACATAACCCTGGTAATCCTTATAACAACTCTGTTTTACAGATTGGAGAGTCAGGCCAGGAAACTGGCTTGCCCCAAGCAGCTGGGTGTCACTTGAAAGTAGCACCATTTGAATTACCTCTGCATCTAACACATAATATAGGCTCAACCAGGATCTAACATGTTCTGAGGCGTTTTCCATTCCCAAAACTCTTTTTTATTTTTTTATTTGTAAAATATGGCCTGATGAAGGTTCTGGAGGACTCAAAAGTGGTGTCATTCAGTCAGCCCTAATAAAAGGTATTATGTAGACTGTGTTCTGGGTTTTGTTCATGGTCGCTTAATAAAATAACTGAGGTGAGACTTGAACCAGTTATCTCTATACACAGGTTACACTTTTGGCAACTGTACTGCACTACAGCAGCTCATAAATATTTTTATTGCCACCTGCCTGCAACATCAGCACAATATCACTCCAAAACTTTGCACAGGTGCAGTGGCAGTCACTTAAACGCACTTCATACATAGTGACAAACCATGGTGTATGCACCTGGCTGATCCTCATGTTCGCCTGTTTCTAAGGCGGATGGGGAAACCCCAAGCCAAATTCCCTCTTAGCCATGAAGTGCACTAGATACCCTTGGTCAAGCCACTCTCTCCCTGTCTAGCCTACCTCGCAGGGCTGCTGACACTTAAATGATGCTATGAGTGCCTTAGATGAAAGGCAGGATGCGAATGAGATAAACAGAGAGACGATGATTCACGTTACCTTTCCCTTGCTCAAAAGCCAGTCGAATCTAACTCTAGGGGGCGGTGCTCATCTCTGTTTCCAAGCTGAAGAGCCAGCGCTGTCCGCAGACTTCTCCATGGTCATGTGGCCAGCATGACTAAACGCCAAGGCGCACGGAATGCTGTTACCTTCCTACCGAAGTGGTACCTATTTATCTACTTGCAATTTCTTGCTTTCGAACTGCTAGGTTGGCAGGAGCTGGAACTAGAGACCAGAGCTCACTCTGTCATGCAGCTCTAGGGTCTCGAACTGTCGAACTACAGACCTTCAGGTCTGCAGCTCAGCATCTTAACCTTTGAGCCACCGTGGCCCCATGATTCACGTTGGCAGGGATTAAATTAAATCAGTTTTCGGCTAAACATTAGGAAGAACTTCCTGACAGTTAGAGCAGTTCCTCAGTGGAACAGACTTCCTCGGGAAGTGGTGGGCTCTCCTTCTTTGGAGGTTTACAAACAGAGGCTAGATGGCCATCTGAGAGCAATGCAGATTCTGTGAACTTAGGCAGATCGTGAGAGGGAGGACAAGAAGGGTTGCCTCAGTGCTTAGTTCTTGTGGCCCTTTTTTACACACCCAGGGAAATGCTGATAGCCACTTTGGGGTCAGGAAGCAATCCTGGAGGTTTTTTGGTCATCTTCTGGGCATGGAACAGTGGTCAATGTGGGTGTGGAGAGGGAGGTATTTGTGAATTTCCTGCCTTGTACGGGGGTTGGACTAGATGACCCTGCAGGTCCCTTCTATCTCTATGATTCTATGATGCATGTGAACTGAAACTGATTGTTCTCTGTGGCTGCCACACTCGGATGCTGGAGCCAAAACTGGGATGGACTATGGCAATTCCTGACAATGATGGTTAGTGTTCAAGCAATCCAAGTCTAACTGTCTGTCTGCTAAACCATAGCAGCTTGTTTACTAGTAATGCTCCTGCCAGCAAACTCAACTCACCTCATAAACAGCAAGGTCTATGCCAGCATAGGGAATGATGCCCAAAATGTTGGGAACATAACCCTTGTAAAAAGCCTTCACACCTTCTCTCCTTAAAATCTTCTTAGCACAGTCAAACATGCCAGCATATTGTCCTGTTTTGCCCACAGCCAATCTGGTCTTTAAAACCTAAAGGTTGAAAAAAAATTTTTGAATACATTATGTTTCTACCCAAATGTTCTCATCAAAACTCTACACTGTGCTATACGTTTCTGAAATCTTTGGTTGTTAGGTGTCTGAAGGTATCCAAAAGATGACCAGGTGAGACACTGGGGGAGGGCGAGAACCTGAGGCACAGAAACACAACTCAAACCATGACAGCAGCCATTTGATTACCATGCATAGTCAATGTAGCTTTCATCTGGCACTCCATGCAGATGACAAGCAGCTCTTCTGCAAGATGGCCTCATTAAACATTGGTAATACGATGGTGGGACTACTGAAATATTATTCTAGATTGCTGAAAACAACGTGAGAGTCATCAGGTGTAGCCCACTCCCCAGAAAATCTGCATATACTAGAGCAAAGTGGAAGCCAATACAGTGTTCCAGAACAGAGGAGTGCAACTCTATGTGAGCCCTACTGTAATTTGGTACACCTTGCAATCCTAAATAGAGTTACATCCTTCTAAGTCTATTAATATCAGTGGACTTAGAAAGGTGTAACTCTGCCTACAATTGCACTGCAGGCCTAGGAGTAAGCACCCTTGAACTCAGTGGGACTTGTTTCTGCACAGACATGCACAGGATTGCACTGCAATAGTATCAGACAAAAGGTACCTTATGTCCTATCATGATGCTCCAGAAGAGCAAAGATACACTGTTTAGTATATCAGGCCCAAACTTTGTGATTCCGTGGATGTTTATGAAATGTTGCACTCTCTCTCCCTTTCTCCTATTTTAAGCCTACTGTGATTCTATCTAGGCCATCTCCACATGGTGAGCAGGATGTAAAAAAGAGACAGAACAAAATATCATTATCAGCGCCTCAAAAAAACAGGCCCTTATAGAAGGGGAACAGAGACATTTTGGGGGGTTGCCTTAACAGTACAGAAAGCAGCAGATCAACACCAAAGTGACAGCCCTAGCAGGCCTCTGTGGGAGTAACTGAGATTCTGAAAAGAAATACTTACAACTCCCTACCTACTTCCCTCTCTCCCCAGAGAGGAGAGCCTCATATTTCAATAGCCTTGATGCAAATGACAAAATCTGCCTCATTAGGTATGGAGAAACATGCTTCTTTCCCAAAGAAAGAAATATCTGAATACTACAAGCTAAAAAAAATTCACTGAACTATTTTTTAAAACCACCAGTTATAGACCTATAGGAAAGACAAGTGCTTGCAGTGTCTCTTCTTGGGTCCTATTCCCCCCCACCCGCCCCGCCACCCGCTCGCTCTGTTACCAAGGGATTACTGCCACTGCTTATTTCTCAGATATAAAATATAATGAGCTACTTTCTACTGGGTCAGACTAATGGGTCACCTAGCCCAGTACTGTGTACTTTAATTGGAAGCAGTTCTCCAGAGGCAGAAGGAGAGATATTTCCCACCGCTGGTACCCAAAGACCCTAGTTTTAATGAGAAATGCCACAAACTGAGACCTTTTGTATACAAAACATGTACTTTACCACCGATAAACAACACTGTCATAGCAACATGATTTAAAACAAAGACTAAATCATAGCCTTGGCCAGCATCAGCGAGGCAGCTGCTGGAGCCCATGTGGCTCCCCACTGGGTCCAGTGCTGCGGACACACATCCCAAATGCCTGTGGTGGGGGGGAATAAGGAGTGCTAGTGAGCAGAGAGCACTCAAATGGAGAGCATGGACAGCAGAAACAGGAATGGCAGGAAGAGGTGAGACGGGGGTGGTGCCAACACCAGCGAGCAGGGCAAGTGCCCAATGGCAGGCAGACACACAAGAGTGGCAGAGAGAGCTAGGCCTGCTTGCCCCCCCCCCACTCTCACACCTGCCCCAGCTCTTGCTACTCTTGTGTGTCTGCCTGCCACTGGGCACTTGCCCTGCTCACTGGAACCACCCCTGATCATAGCTACACATGCTGTTTGCCCTAGTCACCACAGCAACTCAAAAGTAAAAACCTGTAACAACCAATGCCATCTGATTATTGGAAAGAGGATACACAGCGGGGCTTTTTTGAGAACATAGCAGGCTCCCCAGCACTTACCTCCATGGGGTAAATAGAAGTCTGAGCGGTTGCACCAGCCAGTGAGCCAGATATAAATCGTTCCACAGTTCCTACCTTCCCATCTTCATTAAGAAACATTTTCTTATACTGCATATTCAGAATGCACAAAAAGAAAGAGAGTCATTTCTTCACACCACCTCTAATCACCAGGATTGTTTTGCAAACCGCCCAGTAAAGCCACTGTTGGCTTCATTGCTAAAATCACATTACTTATGTTGCTACATGCAGGTTTCACAATGGAGTCAAAAGCAGAGGAGAGAGGGTAAAAGCTGCTTTTCTCTGCTTGCTTTGGCCACAAGCAGAAAAGAGCTGAGGTGTGTATAGGAGGCACAGAACTCCCATTCCGCATCTGATGTAAAGTTCTCGTGCTGTTTTCCAACAAGCAGGACGCCTTTGTAATGTGTAGATGGTATCTACTCAATTATCTGAACTGCATTTTAATTGTTCTGCAGCTAGAACCCTTCATTTATGAGTGCTTGTTCTGAAATAAAATGGGGAAGCAAGGTAGGAATGTTTGGATTATTTATTTACAACAGATAATAGAAAAAAAATCAAATGCCATTCTCCTCGTGTCTCGCAAACTGAGAGTCTATCAAAGCCAGAAACCAAAAGGCATGCACCACAAGCCTTCCTGAAGCAGAGCAAGGAGAAAAGGCTGATGGTTAAACCAGCAATTGATTAGCTGGCACATGTCTGTTATGGCACCTGCAAAGCAAGGAAGAACTTGGGCTCACACTATGGCTGAAAGACCCACTGCAAGTCCTCTTTATATTCTGGCTTTTCCCTTAGCCTCGGTGTATTTCAAAAGCACCACTGGGTAAGGGGTTGGGGGAGTCTGACAGGCAGTCTAGTCCAAGGAACTTGGGCATCAGGGTCTAATCAGTTCCTTTCCACCATTCAAACATTAGTAAAGGTAAAGGTTTCCCTTGCTTGAAAGCCAGTCGAATACGACTCTAGGGTTGCGGTGCTCATCTCTGTTTCCAAGTCAAAGAGCCAGCGCTGTCCGAAGACGTTTCCGTGGTCATATGGCCAGCATGACTAAACGCCGAGGCACATGGAACGCTGTTACCTTCCCACCGAAGCGGTACCTATTTATCTATTTGCAATTTCTCGCTTTTGAACTGCTAGGTTGGCAGGAGCTGGAACCAGAGACGGGAGCTCACTCCGTCATGCGGCACTTGGGTCTCGAACTGCTGAACTACCGACCTTCCAGCCTGCAGTTCAGCGTCTTAACCACTTGAGCCACCACCTCATAGGCCTCATATCTTCAGCCGTTTCTTCTGCATGCCCGTCTTTTACTGCCCACAAATTATATTGTATAAAATACAAGGCAGCATGGTACATTAGACAAAATGCTGCACTTAGAAACTTGGATATAAATCCCTTCTCTGTCACAAAGCTCACTGGGTGCACCCAAGGTAAGTCACTTTCTCTTAGCCTTACCTACCTCACAAGCTTGGGTCAAGGATTACACACACTTATCTTGTGTGTAGCTTCCGGAGCTCCTTTGAAAGAACAGCAGAATATAAACACAATTTTTAAAAAGTTTTACTGCTTTAGGTTTCTGAAGTCTGTAAGTCTATAGGACAGCAGTGTAAAAAAAAAAGACACACAGCTGAAAGTTCTGTCTCAGGAGGACACTTTCTCTTAAAGGAAGACTAGGCTTTTAATAGGCTATATAAAGCTGATTCTGAGGTAAATATAACTCTGAAATCTTCCCATGTTACCACAGCACAATGAACTCTGACCTTAGAAGAATCCTGTATATGCCATGCAGACCTGGCCTACCAAGCATGCCTTGCATGGGCTACCATACAAAATCCAAATGAAAGTAAAACTGAAGTTATGGGCTCCCAAAAACCACAAGCTTAGCAGATTTATCGTTTCAGTAATATTTGAACTGTGATTTTTTTTCTTAAAAAACAGATGCACAACTGAGAAAAGTAACTTCACACCTTTTATGGCATCTTGTTTGTTTACAGCTGGATTCCCTCCATTTAATGTTTAATTGCCTTGATTTAACATCTTACCTGTTCATAAGCCCAGAACTTAATAGCTGTTTCAGGTGCAATTTTAACAACATTGACACCATTTCCCCTCCAAAGAGAACGGACGCCTCCTTCTTTCACCATCTGCTGCAAGCCACCTGCTATGTTCATTTTTGACTTGGAGCCGTGAACCTATATTTATCACAGAAAGAGAAAATCAAATATAATTACTGGATGTACACAGAAAGAATAATTAGCGACGGAGCTTCGCTGTGTTTAAAACACAGGAATAAGTCATCAAGCCCTTCATGAAGGAAGCCAGAACCATTCCAAGGCCTGCAACGGACACTACTTTCTCAGCTCAAATCTTAAGGCACAACTAAGGAAATGGAGGGAGGGGACGGCCGCACCAGCTTTGTGTATGTTGGAATTTGTGAGTTAAGTCCGAAAATTGCATGCTTCTAACTCTTGCCTAGTTGTTACAAACATGCATGTGTCTACAGTAATCATTTTTCCTTTCCCTCCAAGAAAAATCAACATTTATCTCATTCCACCTTCCTGACTTCCTTTAAATCCTTCCTCAAACCCCACCCTTTCCAGTTAACTCTTTGGATTTTCCAGAACTAACTATATGGAATTTCAAACATGCATGCACTAATCCAAGCACCATTATATTAGTAAGAATACCAACAAGACAGGGGGGAAATGAACACGCTTTCAAAATCCTGGCATTTAAGTATTACAGCACAATAATTAAAATGTGCTCTGGATATTATGTTACTCCTATGCATGATATTTCAGCAGCTGGCTGCTCTCTACAATGCCAAATGCCTTCATTTTACATTATTTATAATGAGCAAACACACCAATTAAATAGTTTTTAATCAAACAAAGCAAGAAACTAAGTAATTGCTCATTACAATTACAGGTTTAAATTCTTGGAGAACAGCAGTAAGGTGGGTCGAATACACTAATGCCTAACAACATACTAAAACCTAAGCCCCACACTATAAGATCCTTTAATGGAGATATTCGTGTATTACATAAGTACTCGCTAGCTTCTTTGTATGCCACATTTTCATAATTAGCACCACCATCAGGCTGTCTAAAAATAGATGCCTACAAGTAAGTTTTTTGCTTATGGAGCTTCTCTCAAAAGCCTCAAACACACCGTGATTTAATTTTATCTCTTGAAAGGAGCAGGGAGGGATTTGACTAAGCCAGGAACTGGGCTACTAGATTTACATGGCCTTCGGTTATATTCCTTAGATCATAGCCCTGCGGAGAACTTCTGAAAAGAGCTCTCAAACCAGTTTGTGACATGAAACTGGGATTTGCTGTTCAAAAAGATATAATCCTGCTGTGTATGTTTAAAATACCTCTGCAGAACCCAAGGGCTAGAACGACTTCAGGACAACCCACCTGCATCATGACTTTAAGTCGGTCCAGTGGTGCTGTGCCTGTTCGAGATACAGCTCCAGCAACTCCTCCGGCTAAAAGTTGTCTCCACCACTGGCCAGTCTTTTTCTCCTCTTCAGTGAACTCATCTGGGATAGTTAAACTATCCCCTATATCCAACACCTGTTTAGATACACATAGGGGGCAGAAAAGAAGAGATCAATCTGTTCCATTCAGCCATCTTTCAACAGAAAGCCTTACATGCCATAAAATTCAAATGAGGGAAATTTATAAAGCTCTGAAACACCCACACATGCTAGTTTGGCTGTATCTGAAACAATGCTATCCAAAACATACCATTTCAAAAACTGCACCATCATCATTAAAAATGATGACAAATTCCCGTCTTGGGCAAGGGCGCAACAAAGACATTACACTGAGAGATACAAAGCCTTCCAGAGAGTGCTAAAATCCAAATGGTTATAAAGTACTGTTAGCCTTTCCTCTAGGTAGGGATTATCTAGATTAACCTCTGGACAACTTCCTAAAGGGATTATGAATCACAAAGTATTTTTATCTTTGTTGAGTTGTTATTATGCTACTTTTTATAAAATGAAATGGCTAATGAAATTAATATTTTATTTTGCAACATTATTATTGCAGTTCTTTTTCTCTCTTCTAATGGGAACCGAATTATTTAAATATTGTTTCTTAGTATTTTACTAGTATAAGGATTTCTGTGTGATTGGGCAGTTTACACAGCAACCATACCTTATATATTACATCACTTCCCTACCAAAGCACCTAAGCTAGAAGACAATTAGTAACCTGCCTACCTTACCAGTGCAATCCTAAACAAACTTACACCCATGAAATCAGTGGGTTTAGAAGTGTGTAATTCTGATTAGGACTGCACTTTAAAAACACTTAAAGATGTCAGATTTCAATCTGTTAGGTGCTCTAAAGTTGCTCAGTATTGCCTGAGGGATCACAAAGCATGCTAAACTCAAAACAGAAATCAAACGTGAATTTTTAGAAAATATTCAAACATAACATTCTGCTTCCTATGGCTGCAGTTTTCCATCTATGAGGGTACTTCCAAAAGAATCTCACAGCCTGTTGCCACAGGAAGACTCCCCATCACCTCCAAAACATTTTTTAGTGAGGCAGGAATCTCAAAGCCAACTCATAGTTCATAGTTGTTAGAGATAAAGGAAACTACTACTTATTTCCCACCTCCCAAAGTTCTGACAGCTCAGAAAACCCCTGCATGCAGAGGAGAGAAGAACCCTGTTTTCTTTCCTATCTGCACAGACGTTGGCAGAAGACTGAGGCGATGGAGGACACACCTCATACAGGTGGTGGCTGAGAAGGTCCGGATTCAGCATCGAGAGACAAAAGAGAACCTTTTTCACAAAGGAATCCAAGCTGTTTCCCACAAGGCCCCAGACTATTCCCACTAGTCTCTTTATACCAGAACTGGACCTTCCCAATCACCTCTAAGGGATTATTTTTAAAATTCAGACTTTTATTAGGAGCTATCTTCTCCAGTAGACTTGTTTCTCACCTTTTTCATCTTTTTATATCAGCCACATATACACAGCCCTACCTTTGCTAGTTACCAGTTGCCTAGGTTACCAGCTGGTTGCCATCTGCAGTCTTCTTCCGTACATTGCATGCTGCAGTCTTTATATAGTATTCTTAAAGATTCACATGCTACCAGCAGACCCCAGGGAGGCTGTGGGAACCCTGAACAGGTGCCTGGAGGCAGTTTTGTAATGGATGAGGGCTAACAAGCTGAAACTTAATCCAGATGAAACATAAGAGCTACTTGTGTTGGTGGGAGATATGACCCAGGAAATGGGTTATCCCCTGTTCTGGATGGGGTTTCACTCCCCCTAAAGGAGCAGGTCCGTAGCTTGGGGATGCTGCTGGACCTGGGCCTCCTGTTGGATAAACAGGTGGCAATGGTGGTCAGGGGTGCCTTTTAACAGCTTTGGCTGGTGAGAAAACTGTGGCCCTTCCTAGGAAGAAAAGATCTTGCTACTGTGCTGCGTGCCCTGTTGATATCTAGATTACTATACATGGGGCTGCCCTTGAAGACTGTCCAGAAGCTACAGCTGGCATGGAATGCCGTGGCCAGAATGTTGAATGGAGTGGGTTGTAGAGACTATATCATGACAGTCTTGTTCCACCTATGCTGGCTTCCAATTTGCATCTGGGCTCATTTCAAGGTCCTGGTATTGACCCTTAAAGCTCTGTACAGCTTTGGACCAACGTACCTTAAGAAACACCTTCTTCCATACAAACCTACCCACTCACTCCAGCCATCCTGCCATCTCAGGCTAGACAGTCGGCAACTGAGAAAGTGCCTTCTCCATCATGGCACCAAAACTTTGGAGCTCCATCCCAAGGGAGATTCATTTGTCTCCTTCTAACGGTGTCTTTTACCAGCAGGTGAACACCTTTGTGTTTTGTCTGGCATACCCCCAATAATTGTACTGGCTCTCCTTCTACTGCTGTGCGTTTACATGTTTTTAACTGAATGTTATAATTTTAACTGTATTTTAATTGTTTTGAAGTGTTTATGTTTGCTGCCTTGTGGACCCTGATCGGGTGGAAAGATGGCATAAAAATGTTTTAAATAAATTCAAATTTCAAATAAATAAATTCAAATTTCATCCTTATAGCCCTGATCAATATCATAGATGAAAGGTGAGGAACCAAACATGTGACATATTGAAGGACAATTATTCAACTCATGGCTGAAGTAAATCTTGAAGCCAAGACTTCCCTTAAACCAGGGGTGTCAAACATAAGGCCCAGGGGGCCAGATTCAGCCTGTCCAGGGCTCTCATGCGGCCTGCAAGCAACTGATGCAAGGGAGGAAGTGCTGGGGGGAGTGGGCGGAGCCTCTTCAGTGTGGCTTCAGTACAGCGGAACAACCTCACCTGCAGCAGTCAAGCATCATGGGAACATCTGCCCAGTGCTGCACTGCTGCCTCTCCAGTCCGCCTATGTGGGTTTTCCTCTGCACACACACCCCCAGCCCATGGATCCTTGCAGTGAAGATACACCAACCTGGAGCTTACCAGCTGCTGTCCTTTATACAGTTTACATCTCTGGTACCTGGCATTACATTTATGGCACACATGTCCCAGCGCAACAAAGTGACATTTATGTCAGATCCAGCCCTCATAACAAATGAGTTTGACACCTCTGCCTTAAGCCTTACACTAATGGCAATGCTGTTCCTTCTCTTTCTTTTCTGTCCGCTTAACCCTAGAGGACCAGTTCAACAAGGAAATATTCATATTCAAAGTGTGTGTATTGTATATCTAGGGAATTTTAGCAACTCTGCTCATTATGAGGTGGTTGTGGGTTCACCACAGCAAAGTCAGCCTACTGCAAACGCTTGTGGGAGGGCTGTGACTCAGCAGAAGAGCCTCTCTGCTTTGCATGCAAAAGATCTCAGATTCAATCCCCAGCATCTCCAGTGAAAAGAACCAGGCCGTAGGTGATGTGAAAGACCTCAACTTGAAACCCAGGAGAGCTGCTGCCAGTCTGAGTAGACAATACTGATCTTGATGGACCAATGGTCTAATCAGTACAAGGCATTTTCATGTGGCAACAGCATCATAATATTTTTACTGCAATTAAACTAAACTGCCATATGAACATGAGCTACTTGGAACCATGTGATAGCCAAGTCACTGAAGTAGTGAAATACTAACTTGGGGGAGGGCTAAGCATGGCATTTGGGGGAGGGGTATTCATCAAATGTGGCCTCGTTTGGCAAATATGGCGATTTTTGTGGTATGAAATAGAATGGTATTAAACTCACTTATACTGTGAACAAATTCACATACACAAGTTGGGGATGTGCAAGTAATCAAAAAGAGGGGGTAAAAAAATGATATTTTTTTTCTATTCCACTATGGGTATTAGCAGGGCTGCCATGACAACTTAAATGGCCCTTTGAAGGCAGATTTATTAGGATCAGAGTTCCCTTTCACCATGACGGCCAAAGGTGGAGGAGAAGCCCCTCAGTCTGTGATTCAGCTCTTCTAAACCTGGGGATGCAGTAATTCCACCCTGAAAAAAAAAGGGGGGGGGGGGGGGGGAGATGAATAAATACACCATCAGCCCACAATTTCTACCACAACAACATGCATACTGCCCCTTTAACTAGGCTGCCCCTTCAACGTTTAAATGGGCCTTTAAGGAGGGATTTATTAGGATCAAAGATTACTTCAGTCTCAGTCCCCACCCAAAGAATAATTAAAGCTGTGAAGGAGCCGTCCTTTCTGACATTAAAGGAACTGAATGAAGGGCAAGGGTGGGAGAGCACATGATGGTTAGGTGAAGAGAAGCCAACGGCAAGCTGCTTGCTTACCTTCATCCTATCAGTAAAGACGCTAACAGGGCCTGTCTCTCTGCTCTTGTCCTTATTCTACTAGAATGAGATAACAAAGTGTGCAGGTACAGGCCTGTTTCAGCTTTGTTGGGAAGGGGAAATTTCCCTTTCTGGGGTTTAATTTGAAACCCCGTATTTTTGTGCCTACCTCGAGTTTCCCTGGGTAAGCAGAAATCTCTCTCATGGCTGTGGCTGATCCCGTTTTGCTGCCTTAGGGATCTGCACAGGGGCTGGTTCATTTACAAGCTGGGAGTCCCTGAGGAATCAGAGGGAGGGACAATCCATGCTCCCCATCCCAAAACTTCCTCCTCTAGGAACCTGAGCACTCTCAGGGGATTAAGCAGACTAATTCTCCCTCCCCCTCCTTCTCCCCCTTTAACTGACTCTCAACTGCTGTCAATATTCCGTTGCTCCTGGAGCATATTTGGTCCTTGTGAGGCCACCAGGAAGGGAGGGGCAGTCTTTTTCTTTTGGTTATTTTCAAAATCATATTTTGCTGTTGTCTGGATGTGTAGTAATCTGATCAGTGGGTGGCCTGGTTTTGCTGCTTTCCTGACAGACATGGAAGCCAGCTACAACTACTGAGGAATTCTAAAGAACTTTACATATGTTTAAACTCCACTTAATTAAGTTGACTCCCTTTTATGTATGTACAGGATTATGACAGAACTGCCTTCTTAAATCTCAGTCTTCAATTTAGCATTGTTAAAGGGCCAGAGAGCACCCCATTTAACAATGCTGTTTTGCCGAGATGGGAAATTGTAAGG